AAAGCAGCACCTGCAGCTTTTGTTGCGCAGTGCACGTAGAGCGGTATGTTTTGAAAGATGGCGATGTGCAAGCTCTCCTGTTGCGCTCGCATTCCAAGGTTTGTGCAGCACCTTCCCACGAGCAAGGGCGGTCAGGAGTCTCCGGCATGTGAGCCACCGCCATTACAACTTGAGTGGTGATAGTGACGAGGGTGAATCCGTCAGTGGAGATTGCCAGGACATGTCTTGGGCGGTGGAGGCAGTAGCTGGCCTGGTTCATCGGCTGAAGCAGCTCAACCTGTGCTTTGGCAAGGGTTAAAACCATACTGATCCCAATAAGGATGCAAGAGAACCATGCGATCTGTGGCAAGTGAGGATCAACTGCCACAGGGGTTTACGATCATCGATTCACATCGAGAAAATCATCAAACATGACTCGGCAAGACCATGCTCGTGCCGATAAAGTTTGGCGCAAACTGCATGTAGCAGCGTCTGTGCTAAGACTAGCGAACCCGCATCCACATTCGAGAACGTGGCTGAGGCCGCCAAATCCCTTGGATGAGTTGATCGCCCGGCTCGGCGGGCCTTCTCGGGTTGCTGAGATGTCCGGCCGATCGCAGAGAAGCTACAAGGACAGGGCACCAAGGCAGCTTTCGTGGTGTGAGGTAAGATGGGGTGAGGCAGGCATAGCAACTGACAGGTTCGGGACTCAGTTAAGCATTTGTGTTGCCTGAACAGGACCCAGCCACTGGGGAGGTAAAGCGCCAGCCACGCCAGGCAGCTGCAACCCGGACACGCACGCAGGGCACAGCGGGCTTGGAGTCCGTAAACGTTGCGGAACAACGTGCCTTCCAGACGGGCAAAAAGCTTTTCGCGATAATTACAGAAGCTGCGTCGGCTGGCATTTCACTTCATTGCGACCGACGCGAAGTGCGCAAAGGCCAGCTCTATAGGCTTTAGGCCTCTTTTACCAATGGACTCTCAAACAGAAGTTGTTATCAGGTGGATTCGTGGCTTCGTTTGTGTTATTGGCTTGAACTTGCAGATTGTTGGAGAAGCTTTGTCATCATGTATTGACAACAAGTGCCTTTACGCAGCCGATAAATAACACCGTGCTTGCCTGCACTACGCTAGCCAAAAACTCTTGTAAGTTTGAAGTTGAACGGCAAAACCTCCAAGTGCAGTGTCAGTCCAAAGCCGGCCTCTTTTCTTTTTTGAAGCCCGCATAATCTCTAGAGGAGCGCCGCCTCCAAGAACCAGACGCATGATTTGCCTAGAGCTGCCCTGGGCTGCTGACAAGGCAGAGTTGAAAGCATTTGCCGGCTAGATTTCCGGGGGTCTTCTCACACTCGCCACTGACACTTTTGCTCGGAGGGTCGCTGCAGGGATTGCTGAAGTTTTCAATGGTCCAGCTTGCATTTTACATGATTCGTTTAGCCATGCGAGCCCACTTAGGACATCAACCTGCCCTCACCCGAGAGACGTTTTGGATCCTCAGAATTGTTGCCGGGTCGTCATAAACACCCCACAAAATCACACGTCGCCTTTGTAATTCATGCCCTTTTGAGCGACTATCATGATAGTTGTGCAGCCCTTCACGTTGCGATTCACAGCGTGCCATCTGTCATGGGCCCATATGTTTTTTGTGTTCAGAGGGGCTGGGCGAGGGCTCTTACCCGCGCAAGGTAAAGGGTGAAGATCAGCTAGTCTCAAGCAGCAGCTTGCCTCAAAGACGTTGGGGCGGTTTGGGGGGTTGCGGAAAGCGTCGTTTCAACTGATGCTCATCATGCTGGGGTGGTTTGGGGTCTTGCGAAGGCGCCACTGCGGCTGATGCTCATGATGCTGGGGCGGTTTGGGGGCTCGGGAAAGTGCCGTCGTAGCTGATTCTCATGATGCTGGGGCGGTTTGGGGCCTTGGGAGAGCACCATTGCAGCTGATGCCCATGATGCTGGGCCGATTTAGGGGCTTGGGACGGCGCCATTGCAGCTCATGTTCATCTTGCGGAAAGCGCCGTTGCAGCTGATGCTCATGATGCCTGCGCGGTTTGGGGCCTTGCGGAAGGCGCCGTTGCAGCTGATGCTCATGATCATGTCTGGGCAGGCTGTGCAGCAGCTGGGACGCGTTCACCGCTCCAACCAGCTGCACCCTCCCAAGTTCACCTGTGTTGCTGCTTGGCAGACATTGGCAGATTCTGTCAGATTAGATTCTTTAATCTCAGCACGGGGCTGGTAGAGAGATGAAGGTCACTGACTTGGCTGGGGAAGCGCGCTTCGTGTCTGCAGTTGCCAAGCGCCTGGCGCAGCCTGGTCAAAGATTGTGGTGCGAGTGTGGCCATGTATTGTGATACTTGCTGGAAAGCCATCGTATTTTAGAATTATGCGCAAACCCTGCCACGAGCAAGGGCCTTGAAAACAACTGCCGCCCTTTGTTGTTAGGCAGCTTGGAGCCATGACCAAAGGAGACCGCCGTGCAGGCGCGTCGGTTGTTTGACCTCATGCCAGTGGCTGCTGGAAACCAGCAAGGTTTTGGAGGGGGCGGTGACTCTTTTGGCTTTGGCCGCCTGGACTTGATGAGCAGCAAGTACGGCGCAGCGGGCTTGAGCAAGGCCGTAGCAAGCGTTTCACAGATGCCCCGACAATGTTGGCCGCCGCGCATACTCTGTGAAGGTCATGACAGACCTTATTGACGGGAAGCCATCCATTGCCTTGAATTTAATAAGCTGGCCCCAAGGCTGCTTGCCTGTGAGAATCACTCTGGCTCACAATAACTTTGGCGGAGGCAAGTCTGTTGGACGCTAAGGCTGGGATGAGTTTGTGGAACACGCGAGGAAAGCCCTCGAAGTTCAGAAGATCCCCATGCAAGGCAACTCCTTTTCAAGAGTGCTGAAGGGCAAATCAATGGATCAATTCTGCGCATGTGACTTCATGAGGCAGAGACCAGGATGCCAAGACGCTCAAGAAGTTCTTGAATCGGGCACTGGGAATGAGATGCAGAACCCAGGACACCTCACATCCAGAGGTCTCCACCCCCATTGTCCCTTTCCAAAGCATTCTGGAAGGAGGGTTTCTTCGAGCTCTTGTCAGCGCACGTGGCCAAACTGGAGGATGCGGATCGAAGAGATGGCCTTCTTGACAATGGAGTCGTGTGCCCCACCTGCATCCTGCCCAGCTCCCAGAAGTGAACGGGCGCGGGGTGCACGAGAACTCCCTGCGAGGTCTTTGAACCACGGCAGTCGCTGGGGGCGGCTGCAGAGGGTGTCTGAGCTAAGGGCGGAGGTGTTGCCAGGCCCTGCTTTCCCACTTGCTCAGGATTGCTTCAGGTTTACGTTGCTTAAAGCCAGGCGTGCGTGTGATGACCAGGTGTGGGGCTTGAGTTGCGCCATTTGCGCCTGGAGCGTGGCATAAGCTTTGAGATGGCCGAGCGAATGCTTCGGCAAGCACCCAAGGACGAGGCGACACTGACATGCAGTGGTATAGAGTCAGTCAAAAGGGAAAGTGACAGTCCCTTCAGGGCTTGGCTTGCAAGGAGCGCGCACAAGGTTTCTATCTCCGTCCCTTGGAGACTGCCGCGTCTGAAGCCTTGCTGGTGCTTCGCCGAAGGGTCACTCGAGATGGCGGTGCTTGCTACACGCCGCTTCATTCAACATAATGCACAGTGTTGTGCAAGGCTTGCATCTTATTTTGCGAATTTCGCGCATGCATTCCTGGGATTCCTGGATGTCCAGGTTGATCTACCCGCACGACAGTCCCAAGAATCAGATGGATGGCAACACTTGCACACTGAAGCGGCTCAGATCCAGTGCCCTGCTCGCTGTCACGGCTGATGAAGCGCGAGAAGCTTGGGAGCGGCAACACACGGACCCCCAGCGTCAAGATCTAGAATCGGATCGGCTTGGCTGAAGGTCAGATAGAGTAAGTACTGCCAAGTAGCGCTGTCCCCGCTCGGGCTATGATCCTCGCAACAAGTTTCGATTAGCACTAAATTAGCACGGCCGAAGGCAGGGGGAAGTGGTTCTCGCTGACAACCAGTGAGGACTCAGCCACACAGTGCATCCACCGTCAACGCAAGCATCATTGTGGAAACAGAATCTTGAATGCACTTTGGTATTCGAAGTGGATGGCAGATGGCAGGATGCGCTGGGCAAGCATGTCGGGCTCCAAGGTGAGTGCAGAGCAGGATTGCGAAACCTCATTGAAACCATGCTCACCGGACAGATCCTGGTACACTGGGATTTTCTTTGCTCTCTGCTTGGCGAGAAGGGAACATCTTTGATGAGATGTGAGCTGATGAGTGGTGCAGTGCTCATTGGTCTCATGATCCCCCGGGCTAGTTTGGCCACGTGGCTTTATCAGCTTGCTTCTGTCACTTTTGGCATGGCAATGTTTAGCATAGTAGCTTGACAGGGAAAAGCTATGCGTGTAGCCGCTACACACTTATCTACGTACTCGTTAATGCGAGAAGGCAACTTAACGACACTGACCACTTCAGGTCCCAGCGCGCCTTCGCTCATGTCACCACAACCTCTGGGAGAATTGCAGCATATGCAAGTAAACATGAGAAGACCCAAAGGCAACATGACTCTAGACGGCCTATATGGGCGTCACCTAAAAGGGCATTTCTCAAAACCAGAGTGCCCCTTCGTACCCGAATTTCAAGAAAACTGCAACAATCGCAATGTTCTTTTGGAGGCCATGGTCCGGCGCACATTGGAGGAGCGTGCCCAGGTGGGAAGACACCCTTGAAGCAGTTCTGTCCATGCCGAACAGCATGCCCTGACCCAGTGCCCACCCATTCCCACAAAATCCCTAGGGTTATCTCCGTTCTGCCAGAGCTCGTAGGTTTCCGAGCTTCCTCAGCCGGAGATGCGGGGCCGCGAAAAGCTGGAGCCCAAGATTCAAACGATGTCCGTGGACCTCAGCACCTTGGCGTGGGGTAATCGGGCTCTTTTCCTTGTTCCCTACATATGCGCGAGAGGTTGTTTCTGTTGGCGACTCCAAATGTAGCCGCGTGATGTCGGATCTTCGGGGGCACTATGCAATTCAACATGAGGTTCATTCTTTCGTGTTGAGGATTTCGTCATCTGGGGCTATTTGTGACTGCCGTACTTTGACATGGTGTTGTGATATGGCAGGCGTGTACAAAAAGTAAGCGTCACTGGCATCATGTCGTCATCACGTATGAAGGGGCTCTTGTGCTCTGACATGTTTGAGGGCTGTGGCCTATGTCCATGCCTCCTGAGTCAACCGGTAAATTGCGACGGTCCCCAGAAGGTGTGCGACGCAGGGGGTTATACCTTGATGAGGAGGTCTCAAAACTAGATTCTTGGTATTGGCATCCTTGCATTTTAGTTGGACATAGCGAGATATGTCTCATCATTCCCAAGACAAAGTTCCCCTCATGGACAGTTTTAGCCGTTGGCCTCGCAGGATGGCTACCAATTTTTTTATTGCCAGCCTCGGATAACCAAAATTTTGAAATGGTAGGGGAAAGACTGCTCGAGTCGCTTTGGAAAGCTGTGGCCGGCCTGTCTTCCTCTCCCAGGTGAAGCGTGTTCGGACTCCGAGGAGTTACAGATAATGGAGGAGGTGGTGAACGTCCCAGGTCATCAGCCGCCAAGCTTTTCAGCTTAAGGCATGTGCAAACAAGCATCAGCATCATCGATGTTGTTTTTTCTTAGTACTGCCGCTGGCATCAACATGCGACTCAGCATTTGGTCTTGGGGGCTGTCTATTTGATGAGTTTGCAGGGTGCTACTGAGGTCATCATTCCTGAGGTCTAGACCCCCACCTCAACCGAAGGAATGCATTCGATGTTGCCAAGGATTGATGATAGCTACCGTCCTGCCAAACGACCTCGCCATGTCATCGTGCCCAGCGATGACGAGCCTGCAGACTAGAGGACTCGAGCTGTCCTCCGATGGAAGGCTGACTGTCAGTTTAGGATTTCGCCCACAGCTTCGGCCGAATGCTTGTTCTGATTAGGAAGCTGTGCAGTCCAATTCTGGCCGCACTGGCTTCAAAACTGCTGACGGTGCCTATTTTCCAGCCTACCGCCTCAAGCGCACAAGTGTGCGGCGGCATTCACTTGCCTGAAATTGCTGAGGCTTCTGCGCTTGTTTCTTTACTTGATCTGCTCTTTCTGTCGCAGAGCTGTTTGGCACAGACCTTCTTGTCATGGGCTATTATTGGTTCTCTAGCCATAAAGAGTTTGAGAATGTTGCCTGTAGCAATCCGTAGTATTCATGCTGTCATCCTATACTACCGCGACTGCGGTCATATCATCAGACATCCCTAGGACAGCTAGAGGCCGGCCATGGTCAAAGTTGTCAAGCGACCGGCGGCAAAGCCCTCTCGGACAAAGAAATCCAGGAATAAGGTCCAGACCTTCAGTCATGCCTCTTTGCGGCAGGAGTTAGGGGAGGAGGGGTGCCGCCAGCCCCATACATCCGAGGCGGCGGAAAAAGGATAGGATGCTCAAGTCAGAGACCCACAGAACTGTTTGTTAAGCACTGCGCCCCGACCGCCTCGGCCCGCTACGGAACTGCAAACACACTCCGCCAATGCTAAAAGTAGCCAATCAAGGACTCTAGGGCCCATGAGCCTTTGTCAAGGAGGGGCAGTCTGTATGGAGGTTGTTTTTCTCTCCATTTTCAGGGTGGGAGGGTCAGAAGCGCCAGGCCAAAGCCAAAGTTGCAGACTCTTTTGAAGTAAATAGGAAACTCTTTATTTCAGCGACCCTGGAAAAGAACCTTGATGTTGTGGAGCTGACATGTTGAGGTGGTGCCCTTGGGCAGCACTTGTCTCGTCGCAAAGCACTTGGACAACTGCGGGCTTCGAGTTTGCAAGTTTCCGTTCGATTGGATGTTTTCGACCCCCTATTTAATACGACATGCGCTCCTGGATAACTTCAAGACCTTCTTGGACGCGAGCAAGTGCCCCAGATGAATTCAGGCTTGGAAGCAATAGTGTGAGTTGCAGGTCTCCCTGTCAGCTTGCATAGCTTGCAAACCCGCAGGCCTTCAAACAGCGCACGTAACATGTCAGCCTTCTCATTCTAGGGCTCCCAGATGTGATCCTCCATTTACAACAGGTACGAAAGAGGCAACGAAGGGGGAGATGAGTTCAAGAACGGCACGATCCATAAAATCTATCACCGAATGCAAAACTCCAAGGCCTGGCTCAGTTGTCGGGACAGAAGTGGGCCACTGTCATTTGCCAGCGTGATAGGGACACGTTGTTATTACCATCCATTTTGAACAGTCGTTCAATACCTGTCTAAAGTAAGATGATATGATGCGTTCCTTCAGGTTGTAGTACTACTACCAGCATCCCTTGATATCGCTATTGCCAGCAGCCAGGGCAAGAAGGTGATCTTCCCGCACCACCAGCTGTGGCCAGGGGCCATCAATGCCGGACGAGACCGCAACTCCTTCAGCCGCTCAGTCGCTCGTTTGCGGCAAGTCTTTCGCTCCAAAACGACGAGGACTCTCTTTGTCGTGGCCATCAATGCCACGAAAGAGACGCATCTAACTGCAATGCGCGACGAGACCTGGCAGCCTGAAGGACAAGGCCATGGGTGACAAGTAAACGATATCTTCATGATGTTCATGCATGCATCGTGCACGCTCCGTGGCAACTATATGTGATAATGGCAGCGAAGTGAAAGACATGCTCACCGGCGATGAGTAGTCATCTGCTGTCTAAAGAGTAGACTGCGGCTCCTAGCGTTTGCCAGGCAAGTGTCCAGTGCCTGAAGTTGGAGGTCCAGAACTTTGTTCCAGGGCAGAGGTCCTTCGCTTGTTTGACTGCTTGCAGCAGAAAGTAGCCGGGCCTTTTCATTTGGAAGTCATCTACTTGCTGCATGGAGCCAAAACCAGAGTTCGCCGACATCTTGCCTTGGAGAAGCGCGTCAGAGATAGGTCCCTGCGAGTGTCTGAGTTGGCTTGCAGAGGGGAGAACACGGGGCTTGCGTTTCGCAGAGATTCCGACAAGCTGGCTTTCCACAAGCTCATCGCATGCCAGCGAGACTTTGCTGTAACATGGAGATGTTCAGATCACCTGTCTTATGCAATGTCTAGCATTGACTGGCTAGATGACTAGATGGGCTTCTTGAGAAATCATAGCCCTGTGCGCCAGGCTGCGGCCCCAAAAGTCTTTTTCAAGTCAACCAAGAAGCGGTTCTGGCCATAAAGATTGCGGTCAAAATGAACAGCCTCAGTAGCTGCAACGATCGCACGGTGAGGCGAAGTGCTTGCAACACCTCTGCTCAGAGCGTTGATCCAGCAAAGGTGGGCGAGAGATCCAGAAAGGTGGCAGCTCCACCAGACTAAGATGACAACAGGCTAGCAGTAGGACTGGCTTAGCACGCCTTCACGCACTATACAACCCACAGAGGTACTGTAGCAAGCCTCAGGACTCACGCGTTGGCACGCACACAGACTCGCGTAAGTTTGTCGGACAGCTCCATGCTTTCGTGCCTCCAGTTCCTTATCGCTCGACGGGCATCACGGGGTATTGCAGGAAGTGTTGGGCGTTCTAACCAGCAAACTTGTTCTTCAGCTTGCCTGCGAGCATTGTAGGGAGACTGGTGGGCTCACCAGCTTGCCTTCACTGGAAGCATTTCAATGCCGGAGTTGCCTGTTCGGCTGCCACCAAGGACGCATCAAGCCCACAAGCCTCGACACAAGGAGAACCAAGGGCTATCACGAGGCCGCAGCGGATGAAGGCGAGAAAGCTAGCAGCAGCAAAGTTGGACCCAAAAAGGCTTCCGAGAGTCACTTGGACTGAATCCAGTCAGTCATGCAGGAGACTGAGTCTCTCCACGTCCGAGGCAGCAACAAGCGCAAGCTGCGCTTTGTCCAGGAGAATCCGAAGACACCGGGATCGAATGCCCACAAGCGCTATGAGGCTGGGGGCCGGGGATGCTCAGAGAACCCTAGCAGCCACTTGGCCTTCAATCTCGCAGGCCTACAAGAAGGCCAGGACGGTCCAAGAATTCTTGGACCTCGGGGGTGCCAAAGGAGACTTGAACTGGGACAGGGCAAGTGGCTTTCTTACTTTCCTGTAGCCTGCAAGAATGGGTCCTTTGGTGCACGAGATGCCGGGAGCTAGAAGCCAAATTGGACTTGCGTCGTGAAAACATTCAAGTGATTATGCTCTGCCATTTGGTCACTTGGCAGGCCTCTCGTGCAGTTTTGCCTTGCTTTAAAGCCTGTGGCGCTTGGTCTTCTGCGGGGTGTGCTGGAAGCACACGTAGAATCGTACAGGGATTCGGCCGTGAGTTGCGGCGCTTCAACATGCTTTGCGGATCGCGGCTCTGGGTGAGCGACGCCGGAGCAAAACCTGCTGGCACGCGCTTTGCTGAGACTGGGTTGCTGCCAACAGCGAGACTTCCAGAGACATGGGTTGTTGCCCATATGTATACACATATACATATAGCCTATTATGCTATAGTAGTTTCCATTGTATCTTTTCCATTACACCTAGTGATAATGGACAAGAAATGGAAACTACTATAGAATACCTGTGTCTGGAAGAAAATAGCAGTCAGCCAGGTTCAGAGGCCAGATGCTAAAGTGTCTGGAGCCCTGTGCATCATCTGTCACGCGGTCTGGTCCGCGGAGAGCCTTTGGAGGTGTCTCTGTCTGGTCCGCTGAGATCTTTTGGAGGTGTCACCATCTGGTCCGCCAAACCACAGTCAAATGCACCAGAACAATTCAGAAACACATTCAAACAGCCAAAAACAAACAGCACTGCTCCTTGTTAAACACGAAGCCTGTAACGGGACTCCTAATGGGTTTGCACAGGGGAATTCATGAGAGAGCGTCTGGACCCCCATGATCATGTAAATCCAGGGAATAGGCCCGGGCCTATGTTTGACCACCTCACCCCTATCTACCCACCTCTCACCCAATAAAAGGGGGTGAGCCACTTGCAGCCCACAGCTTCGCAGCTGCTTATGAAGAGAAACGTGTACCGTGTACGCCTTTCAAAGCCCTGGGGTTCATGTTGCTTCGGATCAAGCGCATTCTACCAACATGTAGCTGGGTTCGTCGAGCTAAAGTGGGCGTTGCCAGATGGGTGTCATCATAGACTTGAAGCTATTAAGAGATCTTGTATGCTGCTTATTATGCTATGCTTATACATACCAGTAATCCCGCAGTGCTTCAATGCTTCCGAATTAATTTTACTGAATAGAGTTGCAGTGTAGCTTTCTTTCACATCCTGCCACGTGCTGCGATGTCTGATCGGTGCGAAACTCAGACCAGAAAGCAGCCATACCACGCATGCCACATGAGAAGCGAGATCAAGCGTCAAGCTTTGCCGGGTGATAAATTCCCGCTGTTTACCGTAGTCTCGTGTGAGCGCTTGAAAGCTTAGAAACGCATCTCAGAGCCCAAAACTGTAAGTTGATATCTTATAAGGCGCTAGCAAAGCTTGATGTTGCTTTTGCACTGCTTGTGATGGTCCGAGGCAGTCGGGTAACTCTGGCACCGCGTTGGAGGCCGGACCTGGGACCTGGATGACGTTTCCTTCAGCTAGTGCCCTGAGAAGTAGCACTATCCAAGGGGTGCTTTACCCTCATAAGTCCAGACTGTGACACGGCTCCGCGCTTCGTTGCGCGATTGCTTCAAACAATCATATTGAATATTGAAACTGCTCCAGCGAATGCCCAAGAGTAGTAACGTAGGAGCAGCGGCCTCAAGTCACTCCCAGCTTACACTAAGACTACGATCCAGAACTGGCAATAAGCCTTTTGCAACCTGGCAAGGCAGAGGACATATGCAGGTATCGTAAAGCAGGCCTGCGCGCGAATCACTGATGAAAGGAAAGGTCTGCATGGACATTTCGACGCGCTCCCACCCCAGAAACGAGGGAAGTTTAAGGCCAGAACCTGTTTTGCTGGAAGCCAGTTGGACCAAGGCCGAGGGGAAGGTCTTGCCATGTAATTTTGGGCAACTCTTGGGCCATCCTTTGGTTCCAGTTTAGACCATGGTGAGATCAGAGATGAAATGCAACAATCGGCATATTTGATTCACAAGGTCGCACAGCAAGGGTCACTGAACAGGTTTTGGCCACCACTGGCATGGACCGGCTGTGTGGCATGCGTTGCTATTCGGTACAGTGGTTCTTCCTGGGCAAACCAATGGCAGCAACAGCAGCAAAAACAAGATTCACAACTTCACAACGATCAGACCCAATCTCAGGGCGATGGCGACGCAGAAGCCAATGTGTGGGGACCTCACAGACTTCTGGGCGTCTTCGAAGAAACAGTCTTGGGCGTTTACCTGTCGCAATGCTTGCTTCGAGGAGGTCGGGAACAGGAGTTCTGCCGTTCTGGGGCTTGCGGGCGGGGTTGGCATTCAGGGCTTGAGAAAAAGCTGTGGGAGGCTTTGGCCAGGTCTCCAAAAAGATCTTTGGACGGGTTCAGCCGCTGGATTGTTTGAGCAGATCGTGGCTAAACTTGTGCGACAACAGAGCAGACCTGCGCTGAAGCCGGGAATTTTGTCGGATGAGTAGGAGCGTGAATCGATTTGGTGGTCAGTGGCACATACTAGGCAGTAGGAAGCAGGTACCTGGCACCGTGCAGGTTGCAAAAAAACAGTCACCACACACGATTCTCAGTCCGCAACAGAGTAAAAGCATCAAGGCCTCTTTGGATTGGGGCTGCCAACTAGCAGAACTAGCATTTTTCCTCATGTCCATGGTAGTGTGGGAGACGCCTGGCTTCGTTAGAATTCATGTGGCCCCCCCAACGACTGCATTACAGACACTGACATGTATTGCAGGTGGAAGGGAAAACCGAAAAATTGCAGGTGGAAGTTACGTAATCTTCAGTCTGGCAATCCTCTTGCTTTACATTCGGAACATACAGACCACACGATGGGCTGAGGCATTTTGCTTCGGCCGTAGCAGCCCTGGAGGAGCTAAAGGAAGCTCTCAAGGCTCCGACGTCGTGCCCCGTTCTTTGGTCAGAGTATGAGGCTTTAGGAATACATATACCAAGCAGGACAGATCAGTGTTTGAGAGTGGTCACGTCCTCCTTCATCTCATGCGCTTTTCAGATGTCTCTGTCACTTTCAATCGCATGCGAAATCGTGTGTGCTGGCAGTACCAAAGCCCAAGCTTCGCAAAGCAACTTTCAGCATAGCTGTGTGGAAAGTCTTTTCAGCATCAGTGAACATTAGCTTGTTCTCACGTGTGTATACTACCTTGTGAACGGACTGCCAGAACATTGCCGTTCAAAAGAATTTTGAATAGGCCACGCTGACCTTGGCTGTCTTTGTCGTAGGCCATGCAGCTGCCGGTCATATGCTTATAGTTGGGCTCGTCCATTCTAAAGAGAATTCCTCATCACTAGCTGTCAGTTGAATGCGCCAGTCCTTCCCAGTCGGGTTCCATGAATGGTCACGGGCCACATGCACTACCAACCAAAGGCAACACTCCACGCGCGCTATCACATACAAACACATGAGAATAGCTGCCAGGTGCAAAGCACTGGGCTGCATACAGACATTGCAGCGGCCCGTTTAGCCCTCAGGCATTTTGAGTGGTTGAAAAGCTGCAGAGGCAAAGCAGGTTGGACGTTGCATGCCCTTCCGGCATCCGCATGATCATGGCAGATGACAATAGGTGATGGGAAGCGACTTCAAATGAGTAGTATTTTATTTGGGGATACTGTGGTAGCCAGTATAGAGTCAGATTATATCCTCCTTAGGGGGTATAGTATTTTATATAAGGAATATAATCTTACTAGGTTCAACCACCAAGAAAAACACTACTCAAACGATAAGGTGGGCTTGCTGAACTGAAACTTGGCAGTGGAACCAATGCGCTTCGAACGCCTACATGATGACCGCTACGATTGTGGTGTGGTAGTATGGGTGATGCTTATCTAAATTGCTGTTCGAGGCTGTAAGCACCTGCACTAGAAAATGGGTGTCACTACCATCAGGACGAACCAGAACACCCGCAAAACGAGTCACTGGCTCATTCAAGGTCGGCACTACTCGGCCGCAGAACAGGTTGTCTCCAAGGCACATTCGCACAAAAAATCTTCAAGTGCGTTGTATAGTCAAGTAGGCGTCCAGCAGATAGAAATTTAGGATAGCCAACTTTTGAAGATTCAAATAAGTACAGGGAAAGGATGGATTGAGCCCTTAGGCCACCTAGAAGCGAGTGACCTCAGCCTTGGAGATCTTGGAGCTCCATGTTGTGTTTCCAGTGCATACCACAAGAATTCCTACAGTGTTTTGTGCACAAAGCTGCAATGCTCCACACTGCCTGCTGTTTTCACAAATGTACATCTAGATGCGAAGGGTTCGACAGACTCCCACCTACCTTTTTATCAGCATGCGTTCAAACCCTAAACCCTGAATCCTAAACGGCTGCCCTGCTGTGCGATGCGCGTGTTTAAACGGCTGCCTTGTGCGAGAGGTCCGTTTCGAGGCCCGCTGCACGCCGAAAGGGACGAGAGGCCCAGTGGTTGCCCCAGTCTGACAAGTGCTTCCAAGTCTTCATAGCTTGCCAAATTCCAAAACGCAATAAACAGTAAAACTACAGGCTGCTATTAGCAGCAGGCTTCCAGATGGTTACAGTTCGCATCCACCTCCAAAGCCACACTCAAGGCCCGACTTGACTCTCAGCCCTGCAAGGTTCAGGGGCTTATGTTTTGACATTCAGCTTGCTTCTTCCTCACTCCTGCATCAACAGGCATGGTCTGAACATCAGGAGAAAGATGCGAAATCCGCTGGAATCAAGAAACAGGGCGTGTGGTTTAGAGAACGCAAGACTTCGAACTCACGACCAAGGTCCGGGCCAGTTCCAAGACAATCACACCACTGAGCTCAAGCAACTTGGCTGGAATCTGGTGATAATGATCAGAGGCTTTGGGGGTGATGTTTCGGCTTATTTGGCAGATTGATTCAGGAGGTGCTTTGGGCTCGGTCTCAGGATTACAAAGGTGCCAAGATTCCCGTAGCTGCGGGCCGTGGGTCAGCAAAATGGTGTTCCCTTCGAACTTCATGTTTGACGTTTGGTGGAGACCCGGAAGCACAGGGCCATGTT